AGTATCTGTGGCTTGTCCCTTGACAGGCGAGCGAATTCAACCGAATTTTCAGATATGAGGGGTTTCTCATTCTCGGTTTCGCTTTTCATAAACTCAGAGCAATCAACTACATCTTCTACTGAGATTTCGCTCATCTCACTCTCCTCATCAAATTCAGACGTGTTTTCTAAGTTCATTTTATTTTCTGAAATTAATTTGGCGTTAGACGAGTCAAATGATTGAATAGTTTCGGACTTTATTTTTAACTTATCATTTTCATCTAAAAGATTTTTGAGCATACATTTATGTTCCTTAGAGTCAATGAAGGTCTCTATCTTGTCCAGTCCGATTTTGTAAGACATGGATGTCTCTTCTGAGGACACTATTGATTCACACTCAGCGATGACCTCATCCTCCTTAAATTCAAGGAAGGGCAAGATCATCTTGTGAATCTTCTTTCCTATCTCACAACTTAAATGCAATTGAGCAATATTAGTATATAAGCGCTTAGCATTTAAACAAAAAACATTCCTTTGTTTTAAAAACTTTAAATTGTCTCTTTGAAAATAAATACTTTCATCCCTAGCTCTATTTAATTCCACCTCCTTCAGCTCAATCCACATCCTTCTCTCCTCACTTTTTGAAGACACCATGCTGAGTTGGTCAGTTAGGTTAGAATTCGCTAAGCGAGTTTGCATGAGACTACCACTTAAGTTAGAAAATTTAAATTTTAATTTATTTAATTCTTCTTCATATTCTGTTACTGGAACTTTATGTGATTCAAGGATGGAATTACCTTTTTGATCAGCCGATCACAGTCGTTGATCTTGTCACTTACGGGCTTGGCGGCAAAACATTTGTCCTCAATCAGGTTTGGTTCCTCACTTGTACTTTCGGTTGATGCACCAGCTGTGACCATCAAACATCTTCCAGCTGAACCTACATCCTTTGCCACATAAGCTCTTCCATGAGTGGGCTTTCTCACCTCTTCATCTTCAGAATCGGTTGACCAAACTTCAACGCCACCGAACTCATCTTCATCTGCATTCTCCTGCACAATCAAGGCATTCATAGAACTGTTAGCCGCCTTCTTTTTCTTGATCTCTTCCAACTTGCGCATGTAGTACGCCTCATCATCTTCACCATCTCTTTTCTCAGCCATTTTCCTTAGCATGCAATCTTTGGCAAAGTGGTTCTTGCCGTGACAGTAATTGCAGTCGAACCCAGAGTCTCCTGTAAGCTTGCTCTCCTTCTTGTCTTCATCCTTTTGAGAAGAAATTTTCGCCTCATCCTTCACCTTCTCAGAACTGTAACTTCCCTGCCAGTTTCGGTTCTTGTTGACAGGAAATTTTCTTCGTGCAAACTTCTTTGGATTGGTGACCATCATAGCATACTCCTCTCTTGTAATGTCACACTCAGACATATCAGACTCTTCTTCTTCTTCTGCAATGCTTTTTCCTTTTGAAACAAGGGCCAACGATCCCACACCAGAAACTACCTTCGCTTCTTTGGTTACTACACTCTCATGGGACTTAAGTATTCCCACAAGTTTCGCTAGTGAGTAAGATTTGAACTGTTCATGCGCTTTCACGGTTGAAACCACAGCCATCCATTCTGGTCTCAGACCGTTCATGAAAGTCACCTTCTGCTCGATCAACTTTCTTTCTATTCCATGCTTGATCATATTACTTAGGAGATGATTGAACCGATCGAAAGTTTGTATGAGTTTTTCTTCTGGTTTCTGTTCGAAAACTCCAAATTCTGACAGCAGCAAGGTTTGAATGGAGTGTTCTAGATCTTCATCAGTTGAATAATGTTCTTTCAACCTATCCCAGATTTCTTTGGCCGTCGTGCATGAACCAACCAACCGAAAAGTGTCAGATTGCAAGGAGAATCTGATCATTCTCATGGCCTTCACGTTACACAACAACTTGTCTTTCTCATCCTGTGGCATCTTGTCTACATCCGCCACCAGCTTGTTATATTCCTTTTGGGACTTAACTGTCGTGTTCGTTCTTGAGTGAACAAACGGCCCAAGTGTGATAGCTTCCCATATGAGATAGCCATTGTCTTCAGATCCAACCACGTAGTCTTCAAAGTGATGCACCCATACTTCATAGTCTTGATTGTAAAGAATGGGAACCTGGTAGTAGATCCAATGTTGTTTGAGATGTTGATGGGATTTGTTTGCGAATCTTCGTGAGACATGGTGAGCTGCTAGCATCAGACATGTAAACTAGAGATTAGGGTTTTATCAGAAACAGAGTTGTCGTCGATACAAAGAAGACGGCTTCTATTTATACGATAAAAGCGGAAACCCTAAAGAATTCTGAATACAGAAGGAATGTGTATTGATCACACAGTCTCCTGCTCTGATACCGATTGTTAGAACAAAGTTCAGTTAGGATCGATAGATTCTATGCAGACAAACAATTAAGAACGTAATTATTAACACAAGAATGGCTTTGAATATGTCGTATGATTAATGCTTTAACACCTCAGAAGAGCTCGATAAAGAACTTTGACTGTAGAGGTGTTTAGGGTTACAAAAACTAATACGATAATAATCACAAACGTTAACCTTATAACGCATACATGCATGCATTATTTATAGTCTAACCCTACAAGCTAATCATGGATGGACATGCCCAATCCGGATACAAAACATAAGCCGATGACGCAACACAATTAGACCCAACATACACCATCACCAACTATAATAGAGCACATTAATTTATCAACAAAGAGTAGATTTAGGTTATGCATAATACACAAAGACTTAACCTATTAAATAGGCTTATAATTCAAGCTTAAATCTACAAAGTGGTGATAAGAGTCAATTTGAGATGACTAATCTCCTAAGAAAATGACAGGGGAAAAAGAGATACTTGAAGCAATTTTCTTAATTCATTAATAACCAAACAATATGAATACAAGCAAATTAAATATGCAAACTAGGTCCTAAAATTTAGCTAGAAATGGGAACAAGTAGTAAATAGAAGACATAGCCTAAAGCAACAACTTTTGACAGGAAAATAAGGAAATGTGAGCCTATCTTTAAATTCATGATTGGTGGAAATAAGAATTAGTCTATTAAAGAAACAAGAACAAATAAAAATTCTCAAAGTAGCTCTTGGAATGTTACTATTCCCCTTGCTCCAAATTTGCATACTCCAGGTTTTTGTCGGCATTAACTGTGTAATGTAACTCTTCATTCTTATTCATATGTATATCTTCTTTCTTGCATTTGTTCATCTTGAATTTGAACACACAAAAGTCTTTTGCATATTTTTTGCTATAAAACAAATATCCCATCTTCAGGTTGTTTCACTTCATCTTTAATTTGATTGTTGTAGTTGTTTGCTTTGTAAATTGGTTTTTCTGGGATGATGTGTTGAACGTCATCACTAGCCCAATGAAGCTTAGCCTAATAAAGTTCTGCCCTTTATCAAAAAGATGTTATAGTGTTCTAAAATAATATGGAAGATTCTAGAACATTATGGAGGCCTATGGTATATTGTAGAACATGCCAAAAGACTATAAAATATTCTAGAATGACATGGAAGGCCTAGAAATGTTATGTAACATTCTAGAAGATCATGGAAGATACAAGAACGTCCTATACCTCTCTAGGACATGGTAGTGCATTCTAGAAGCTAGTAAATAGATATAGAGTATGGTTGATGATTCTAGAATGTTGTAGATGTGTCTATTTAGTAGAAAAATCTTGAAGCTTCCTTAGAGGAGGTGGTAACACCTATAAATATGTGTGGAACTCCTTGGCTCCAAACCCTCCAAGCATCCAAGAAACACTTCAAGAAAACAAAATGTAGTAGTCCCTCTAAAGTGTAAGTTCTTCTCAAGTGGTCTTAATGAAAGTAATGTTTTTTCACACATAAAAAGTCATGTTGAACTTATGGTTGGCAAATGGAAACATAATTGTGGATCCGGTTGGACACATAAGGATGTTGATGCCCCATCCATTTAGGATTGTTTGGCCTGGTTTTTTTATGGTGAGGTTCGTTAGCTGTTTCTCAAGGCTTGTTAAAACTTTATTTTTTGTTTCTACATCACCTTTTCTTCTTATCCACGACATTATTCTTGAATCTATTTCATTTGTATATGTAGGGTCAAGGATTCAAAAACCACTGGCCATGGACTTGTACATTAACAAAATATGAAAATTTAAGTATACGACCCCAACATGTTTGTAGGTTTTTTAGAACAACATTATATTGAAAAATACGGGTATATCATAAACAAATGAGAACATGAGAAACAAAACAGATTAGAATTACAAAGGGATCACTACTAACAAAGGGTTAGAGACACAGTCCAACCAAACATGTATGACAGTTGAGTTGAGTTACAAACTACAAAGATCACCAAAATCGATTATTAGTAATCTTCTTTCAGCTTCTATGAAATCTTTCCTTGAATTAAGGTGCTTGGTTTGTGACTATTCCCATTATTGAGAATAGGGCAATCACTTTTAAAAAATATGCAAGGAAGCGTAACTTTGCCTATTAATTCAGACACGTTTTATGTAAGAAATTAAATTACCAAAATCGATTATCAGTAATTTTCTTTCGGCTTCTATGAAATCTTGCCTTGAATTAAGGTGCTAGATTTGTGACTATTCCCATTATTGAGAAAAAGGCAATCACTTTAACAAAAATATGCAAGGAAGCGGAACTTTACATATTAATCCAGAGACGTTTTATGTATGAAATTTATTTTTTACCTTGAAATAAGGTGCTAGTTAAGGTTTCTTGTAAAAAATTGAAGTTTGTGATGAGACAAAGTTTTAAGAAAGAATGTTTGACTACTGGAAAAACAATATTCAAGATACCACTAACCAATAACCATAACAATGAAAAATGATAAACAGTTATGCGGTTTGGTTTCAAAACAACAAGGAAAAGAATCGAGTACTTACAAACTTTAACTAAAACAAGGACATAAGTACCATGGTGTTCAAATGTTGATATCAGATGGTTGAAGTTATCATAACTTATCTCCTATGATTCTTGATGTTTTCCTTCGATCTTAACTTGCAATCTAATGCAGGAGTTCACATCATCATGATCTGAAAAACACAAATGAAAGACAATTATGTTATGAAGTGACTAATAAAACAATTTCAATAATAGATTCAAACACAAAAGCCTCTAATATTACTCGAATCATTAAGAAAAAGGGATAGTTTGGCAAATTTGAGAAGCCGCTCTCCAAAAGGAATAATCCTCTAAAACAAACAAGATACCTATCCCTAATTATTCCTAGTACTTATAAGGTAACCCTCAAACTTAAATTACACCTAAAATGCCCTTCTACTATAGGAGATTCCCTAATGATGTTGATTTCCCATCTTACCCCCTTCTATAAAGCTTTGCTTAAGTGAATGCATAAGACATTAATAAATAGAAAAGAAAATGTTATAGGCAACAAGGACGACATTAATTAATAAACTTAGTTTCTTCTGAAGTCCTACATAAAACATATAACAAAGATAAAGGTGAAAATATAGAGAAAATATCAGGGCTTTTGATGAAAAAATATAACAAAAATAGTACACGACATGTTTTCAATTGATGTACTTTCAAAAGACCTACCTCTTGTTTCATCTTTATAAAGGATTTGATGTCTTCCTCTACATAATACGAGCCAAAACTTGTTTCGATTCCCTTTAGCTCCGGAGTAAACAAATTTCCCGTGGTGAAAGTCATTATTGATGGGCATTTTTGGATGGTCAAAGTATCAAATAATGGGAATGAAAAATCCATCTTCTCCATGCAAAATCCCTTGAGACATCGAAGTTTATCAAGTTTTAAGGACTTGAAACGAGGTAACACAATTTTATTCATTTTTCCATCAGATTCCTCCTCCTCTTCTTCTACAACAAATACCTCCTCCATATTCTCGCAATCAAATATGTATAGCTCTTGGAGTTGAAATAGACTACCAACCATGGAACTCCTAAAAGCATATTGTAAACTATAACAGCCATCAATAGAGACTCTTGTTAGGTTTGGAAACTCAAATATTGTCCACTGATTGCTCTTCCATATATGCTTGAGAGAAGATAGACCCATCAACTTCACTTGTGTTAGGTTTGGAATTTTGACAAGAGTAGTAGTTTGTGGCGATTCATCAAAACCACTGTTTATCACTTCCAACGCTTCAAACACCTCCTCTACCACATTACAGTAGATTACCTTAATCTTTTCCAACTTTTGCAGTTGTAGCAACTCATCAGATGGGATAATCTTTTTAACAGATCTATCAAATGCCACATGTGATTCGATCAGATTATGAAAAGACCAAATGTTGATATCTTCTGAAGTAATAACAGCAGGGCACCAGGAGCTTGTACGTTCTAAACTCAGGAATGGGGTCTACAAGCCAAAAAAAATAAAAAAGAATATCATATAAGGCAATCAACTCCACTCCAACCAAAACTAGTTTCAGTTGGGTTACTTTTATAGAAACTAGTATCAATGTGTTTATTTAATAATGCTTCTACTTGGCATCATGATTTCTTAGTCAGATCATAAATGTGAAAAAAATGATAATAAAAAAATTATACCTCCTGATGGTACCCAGTAGTAAGGGTTGTCACATGAGAATTAAACCAACTTCCAGGAGGACTATATTGGCCTAAACTTGTTTCCACATAGTTGGGTTGTGGAGCTTTCGACCCACCAGCTGTGAACACCTTCATCTGTGGGCAGTCCTTTATCATAAGATTATCCAATGAAGGCCACCGGAACTCATTAGTCCCTAAAAAGAAACCCAGCAGCTCTGGTAGATACTCTAGTTTAATTCGCTTTAGATGAGGAAATACCACAACCTTAGAAAAAGATGCCTTTGTTGTTTTCTCTACTCCGTCATCTTCTTCCTTCACCACAATCACTTTCATTGCCTTGCAATTATCTACCCATAACTCTTCAAGTTGTACAAAGCTTTCAAGTGTGGAACAGGTGAATATATGTTCCAAAAGGTTACAACCCTTGATATTCAATATCTTTAGGTTGGGAGGTTCAAACATAACAACACTCTTGTTAATCCTTTCTACTGTTTTAAACACCTCCTTCATCCCATGTCAAGACTTTATTTCCAACACTTGAAGCTTTTGCATCTGTCCTGCTGCATAACATGGAATCATACTTGATAATGCATCATAATATTATATTTTTATCTCTCTAGGGTATTGGCATAAGGTCCAAGATACACCATCCACTTGAGAAAACTACAGTAAATGACAAAAGGAAAGAGATGAAGTCACATAGAATAGAAACGAGAATTGAGGGAGAAAGATAAAGGGAGGATACGGGGGTGGGGGTAGGTTTTGTTTAATGATTTAATGTATATAATAATTAAAATATAATTATAAAAGAAATTAAAAAATATCATTTAGGGTAAAATAGACATTTTAACTCGATCATAGACTGTCATTTAGGGACATGTTGCATTACTTAATAGAAATCTGAGTTTCATATTGTAGGAAATACATATACACATACATGAATAACTAGGAATCTGATTATGAGCAGTAAAAATTTCAATCTCTTGTGTTTTCAAATGAATGACACTTTTATGCCTTCTAATCTTATTGTTGGGTTTGTATAATTAACAACTAATGAGTCAATTACATTCTCTAACTTTTTCAATATCTTCTGGTCATAGGGTATGTTGTATTTTTCTAGAATATGATTAGTATCAGGAGGATATTCCAAAGAGAAAACCACTACTAGAAAAACAGCCTTTTACGACGCGCAATGCGTGTCGTAAAACGCTCAGACGACGCGCAAATGCGTGTCAAGAAAGGCCCTATCATAACGAGAGACGACACGCTTTTGCGCGTCGTAACCTTACGACGCGCATTTACGGCGCGCAATGCATGTCAAGGAAGGCCCTGTCATAAAGAAGATGACACGCATTCGCGTGTCGTAAAACGACGCACATTTACGACTTGCATTGCGTATCATTAAAGCTCATGTCATAAAGAAAGACGACACACATTTTTGCGTGTCATAAAGTTTAAATGTTTAAAAATCATATATATTTTTTGTAATTTTACTAATTTTCAAATTACATCACACATTTAATGTCTCATAATATAAAATAAAATTTCATACACAAAAAAATAAAATAAATTGCACAAATTATAATGTCATGCAAATAATCATTCAAATGTTAAACAAAAATAATACATTACTAACATGGGTTATACATTCCTATAAAACTAACAACCCTCGGTGACCTTGATCTGGATCGAGGTCGACTTGGATCGATGGCGGCGATTGGATTTTAGATACACAACATGATTACTGACCTAAGACCTTGTGCAACAAGTACATCCCATGCCCTATTTCCAGCAACCACAACACGTTTTTAGTGTCTCAAGGGCTAGTATACTTCCTCCTTGCCATCCAATAGCTTTCATTAACAATGGAACCACCTGTAATTTATTAAAAAAACAAGGTCAAAACTGAAAACTAAGTATGCCCTTGCTCCTTTTTTCCCCTTAACATGTTGAACTTAAACAATTAAACGCCCATTATGTATTCAAGGGTAAAATCGTAAAAAACTCACATGGGCAGTGGGATGGATCATTCTATCCAGTAACTCCTGGAGTAACTTATGATGGCATTCTTGGAGATGAGACTTCTATAGTTCTATCAAAGCAGCAGAAAGGAAAGACTTTGTGTTTTCTTGTAAATCTGATTGTTCTTCATGTGATAATTTGTAAGGTGACTCTTTTAGTATCATGTTCAAAGCAGAAATGGCTAGGATTCTTGTTTGTGGAAGTTGACTTTTTAAATTCTTTAAGAAATGACCAGCTGCTTCAGTGAGAATCTTTGATGATAAATTTGGTTCATTTCTAGATGACATAGCCAATAACATGAGAACCCTATTTGCCATCAAGCTATTTTGGATGATAAAAAAAAGTATTTTTTTACTATTATTAAAGCATTGTACTTTCCATTATTTTTTTACTAACACAATGGTTATAGCATTATACTCTCAGTTTTTCTTATTGAGACAAATTGAAAGTATGATGCTATAATAAACAAGAAAATGAAAGTACATTGTTATTTATTGCAATTAACCATTCTATATATATTTAACTCAAGAGTATCGGATCCCCACACTGGGAAAGCACTTTTATGTGCTTTCATCATTCTCTCCAGCATATCTGATAATAAAAAGTGGGAAGAATTTAAGCTTTCAGAAATCACCAAAAGCAACATTAAACCAGAGTATGAATACCAACAGATGAAGATTTTGGTTATCAGTGATAACTAAAACACACTTTTAGTGTATAACTTTACATATGAAGATACATTATTTTACATGTTGAACTAATGTTACCTGATCTTCTCCGCCATTCAACAACTAGAGACATTTGTTCGGTATGAACATGTAATTCTTGTTTGTGGTTAGACTTTAGCTTCCATAAGTTTGCTTGCGTTCTTGTATCCGTATATTGTCTTCTGATATTGCAAATAATGTTATCTGCAACATAAAATAGATTAATCAGGAACCAAACAGAGGAGAATTCTTTTGAACTAAACAGGAATTTGGAGGACTGGTTACTGAATTTGATAAAGCTGTATGAAACAATTTTAAAAAAAAAATTAACACATGTTTTGCTGAGTTAAAATAATCATATATTCATGTGTGTATATAGACCAGAATAAACTCATAGAACTTATCTCGGAAACCAAAGATACAAAGCTCCCTTGTCAAAAATAACCCTCGATAACAACTGATACCATTCCCTAGTAAGCCCACCTGATATCATTCACATGTTTTCAATAAGTATATTTTCAATAGTTGACTGACCATAGTTGACCAAGAAAATGATGAAAATAGCTTACTTTCAAGAATCAAGAATCACAAAAGTGTGAGATAAGGGAAAAGTTAATGGACACAAAAAGTTATCTAATATTGAAAAAAAAATAAGAATAATAATTTAAGATGCTAAACTCACCAACATCTACTTTTATCAGGTGAGTTAACTGTTAATAAGTGAAGAACTTAAAGTAAATAATACTATCTTCAAGAAAAATTCAAATATCTCACCATTAGGAGAATAGATACTGAGATATATATAGGAACTGATGAAATCTGTTTTGCTTCGTCCTGTCTCACGATCAGTCTCATCAGAGATTTCCTTCCTCACAGCAGCTGCACAAGAAAAACAATGAAGATATGTTTATTGATTATACGAATCTTCAAGAATGTATGCCCTGAGAAAGCAGTGACATGAGTTCATGTAGTTTGACCAAACTATGGGGATTTACATTTACTTACCAGTGCCCAAAATAACCAAATATTGACCTTCTCCTCTAGAGGAAATCCAATATTCTATTGAATCTTTGGGAAACAAAAACTAGTTAAAACAACATTGACCAATAAAGATTATTCTTTTAATTATACTAAATCTGCAATAGAATTAGAACAGGTTTTTTTGCTCACCTGTTGCTAAGAACGGTAGCCAGAAATATCAGCTGTCCCGAACAGAGGGTAGGAATAAACCATTACCAACCCACTAAATACAACTTCAAATCATTCACGAGGATTAGAAGAAGCCTGTTGTCAATTGAAGCTAGTTACTGCACTTCCAAATCAAAATATTTGTAACCAAATAAGAATGTTACGAAAATTATTATAAAAATGAAAAAACAAAACATACGCTGAAAAAAATGAAATTGTGAAAGACAAACAGATACCTTTCTTTCTCTCTTCAATTTGGCAAGAAACTTCCATATTTCAGTTAGCATGAAGGTGTAACAGTTTGAAATCGCTTTGTTCTGGTTACCTCCTACCTCCCCTGATGCTTCTTCCCCCTCTGGCTACTGTTTGGTTATTAACAATAACCCCTAATCAAATAGAATATAAAGATGAACTGAATCAAAACAGTTAAAACCATATATGGGTTAGTAAACCCTAACCAAATTTCTAGAGAACAACGGAATCAATTAGTGGATTAGGCATAGTCTTCTACATTTGCACCAAGTAGAATCACAAAGTGAAATACGTTTTGCTGTAATTGCAAGAACAGATAGCATATATATCATCTTACAAAGTGAAAGCATCAAAACTTTTATCCTTTTGTCTAGTGGACAAGATAGAAGACATTGGTCCAACAAAGAACCGATATGACATCAGATATATATAGTCTGTTACTATGACTTCGACAAATGTTTGAACCATGAATCGCTGGTTTTCATTCCTCTTCAAGACCAATCCCTACAATACCTAATAAATAAGGGATATCAACTATGAAGCACCAACATGCAAACCCTTGAATTTGCAAGCATCCTAAAGCATAGAGAATACAATAATAAATTAAATTCAAACTTCACCTGAAGCGTTGTCTAGAGAGAGAAGTAGCAAAAAAAATAAGGAGATGAAATCTGTATATATGCAAATCAATATAAAAAGATTACATTGAAACCCACATCAGGAGCTGGCGACTGAAGCTATTAATAGACAGTATTAACAGAGGCTGAGTCGGCAAACGGAAGTAGAGGTGGAAAGGGCACGTTTCATCGGCGCTTCAAACCAACTAGCTTTGGGGAAACACTCCACCACTGTCAAGAAGGAAACCTCACCGCTAGGTCGGTGTCGGTATTACCTGATTTAGGTTGAGTAAGCAGCAAAGAAGAAGAGGTGTCGATTAAAGGGGATGTAAGAGTGGAAAGCATCATTGGGAGAAACTCCACCGACCACAAGGAAAACCCACCACCAAGTCTTCCATCTCAACGTGATGTCAGGCTGACCGGAAGCAAGCAAGAAGGCAGCTTTCATCAGAAAACGACATCATTTCGTGAATCACATTATCACGTGAGGCTGATGTAGGGTTGAGAGGAATTAAGCACGCAAGCATCCACTTACCGATGATGCTGATTATCCAGGCCTTGGAAAACGACATCAACGGAGGTGAAGGGAACGCATAAAGAAACCCCTGTGAGAGAAAAAGAAAGAGTCGATTTGAAGTAACCGACAAATGAAATTGAAAGGTAGAGGCGCTGCACTCTTTTTTTTGTTCTTGTCACCACACATCAACATAGAGAAATCGAGAACCCCTGCGGGTTTGATCTGTTCAAAAGACGGGATCAGAGATTTGGTGATATTGCGATTTTGTTGTGGGAGAAAAGAGGATTGGTGATGATATTAGGGTTTTTTTGGGTATTAGAGTGAGAGAGATAGAAAAGAACGATGGAAATAAGGTAGAGGATAACAATGGCGGCCTTTCAAACTTTTGGGATTTTCGTTTCCCCCCAACTGCAAAAGACGAGAACGCGCCTTTGATTAAAAAAATATAAAGCCATATTTCTAGATGATGCCCATTTTTAAATAAGTGACCTCCGTGTTTTTAATTTTTTTGTTGGACATTAAATTTAGGGCACGCACAAAAGCGTGTCCTTTATCCTTCAAATTTTAGAAGAGATGACATTATTTTTAGGGCACACACTTTTGTGTATCGTAAATCACCGCGTGTCATTGTTTGCGCGTCATTAAAGGGCTGTTTTCTAGTAGTGAACGGATTTAAATAAAAAAAATGAATAGTAGCTGAAAATGTTAAAAACGTACCTTATATTGATGAAGAAAGGAGGTATTTGTAGTGGTACTGCTGAAAGATATTTCATTGTTCCCCGTCTTGGCACCACCACCACCAATACACTTGAGATTTCGCAGGCCATATAAATTGAGAGAATCAAGAAGAGGGAAGAGGGTGGTGATTGTTGTGTGGGTAGATGTAGATGGAGATGTTATTTTTTTTCTTCTTCTTCTTCACTGTCTCTCTTTAAAACCACTTCTTCAATACCATCACAATCTTTTATCTCAACTTTCTTTAGGCTGGAAAGGAGCTTTGCCATGAGAGGTGAAAATAAGTACTTAATGCTATGACACCTTCTCATTTCTATGGTTGCGAGGTTGTGAAATGGAGATTCTGACTGTTGTTTCTGAATGAATTAAATTCATTCCAGTTGCACTTCCACACATGACTCATCCCCTCCATATAACTTATTTCCAAATTCTCAAGGTAGGGAAGTATATGTTGTTGATTATCCTGACTTGTTGGAGTACTCTTGATCTCAAATATCACCTCTACTCCTAGATATCTCTCCAACTTAAGATTATGGAGATTATGAAATGAGTGTGTGAGACATGATGGGAATAAAGTATTCTGCACAAATATCCCAACAAGAAATGTAATTAGTAACTTTAATAGTCAAGCTAAAGTTGAATACCTCAACGATTTGTAACTGTATATCTATTCACAAGTCCTTTTCTTAAAAATTAAATTTGAGAAGGATTATTTTGATTTTAAGTATTCCTTCAAGGAATATCTGGTCAACAATTTTAAGAACATTCCTACTAATTTTGTCCTTAAAAGAGTGAATTTTTTGTTATTTGAATAAAAAATCATGAAAAGCTTCATTAGTTCCTACCCACCAAACAAAAATTGGGTATCTATTGAAGAAAATGTGAAATCTTTTCAAAAAAGAGACGGAGTTGGTAATTTGTTTTGATAAGCAACGGTAGTTTGTGAAATGCAAAAATAAATGCATTAAACCATACCTCTTGCCCTGAGCTACTTTCCACCGATCCATATTTTCTTCTGATTCCATCCGAATCATCTATTTTCATGTAGATAAGTGCCCCGAGATCAAAATCAGTGGTAAGAGGTGAGAGAAAATTTCTAAATCTTTTACAACTCTCAATACTTATGCTTTCAACAACTTGAAAGCAACGGATAGGGAGACAAGAGTTATTTTCACCACCTTTTATCCTCCACACCTCCCTTAGCTTCCTTAATTTCTCTACTTCAATGTTTCTCAAACTGTTGATGTTGCCGCCTTCTCCAGTCTCACCAATGCAATCCAAGTCGATGTTAAACAACGATTCAACGGAACCAGAATCCTTGACTTTAAACCCTTCAAGCTCACACAACAATGGCATGGGATTGCATGGAAATATGTTCACAAGATTTTCACACTCAACCACTTCAATCTCTCTCAACTTAACTTTCTCACTCGTCCTAAAGTCACAAGGCCATATCTCCTCCAAACCACCCATATGCTCAATGTATAGTTTCTCCAACTTAGGAACCAAAACCTAAAAAATAATGAAGTTTTGTTTATAGCCCGTTAAAAAGTATACACCATGCAATCAACTTACAAATAAATTTTCATATATATTTCACCGGTTATTAAACAAAAAACACCATGTGAATGCAACCTCTTTTGAAAATTCTAATTGAAAAGATTGTTTGAATTGTATTAACATAAAAACATATTTACATCTTCCTTTAACAAGCAAGATGTTGCCGGCTTATTCTTGGAATAAATGCTTGTGATATTTGGAATTCCGCTGATTCTCAACTCCTTGAGTTGTGGTAGCGCAATTATGTTGACATTCTGGCACAAATCCCACAAATCCAATAACTCTGGTAGCCCACTCAACAATAGAAGCTTCAACTTGGGGAATGTAATTGTCTCTTCTCCTCTATCTTTGGTATGTATGAGTTCTTTCATAACCAGGCAATCAAAAACCTGAAGATGTTCAAGATTTGACAGAACTTTTGCAACACTGAGTGTAAAAAGGTATCTCAACTCTGCATGAAAGACTATACAGGGGAGAGAAGATAATATAGAAAGCGTATGGAGAAGAAGAACTATAACAGCGAAGAGAAAAACCCCCAACTTGGGTGTCTCAATCAATATACTGCAGAATATATACAGAGTAATTACAAGGGTAAAAAAGGAAATACCCTCAATTATAAGGCAAAGATTTTGCCTTAATTACAGGGCATAAATGCTTGATTACCAAGCCTAACAACCATACTAAAAATATATAAAACAATTTATTTTGTTACAATATTTACGCTTACACCCCCCCTCAAGTAAGACGTCCGTAAGGGAGGCGCAACTTGACAGATAAAGCATTAAACCTGACTTTAGAGAGGCCCTTTGTGAACAAATCTGCTAACTGGTCATCAGTGGATATATAGTGTAGCTTTAAAAATCCACGAGTGACCAATTCTCTTATGAAATGATAGTCTATCTCAATGTGACGGGTATGGGCATGAAATACTGGATTGCGAGCCATATGTAGAGCTGATAAATTGTCACAAAAGAGAGAGGGGGGATGAAGAAAGATATTCAACTCACGAAACAAGTACGAGAACCATCTAAGTTCCGTTGTAGTAGTAGCAAGGGCACGATATTCAGCTTCGCTGCTTGATCGAGAGATGGTCGGCTGTTTCTTGGCGGTCCAAGATACAAGATTTGGGCCAATATAGATACAAGTACCTGTTGTAGATCGACGATCATTCGGATCTCCTGCCCAATCTGAGTCAGAGTAGGCGCGAATGTGAAAAGATGTGGACACGTAGAATGACAAACCCTCCTGTAGTGTGCCTTTAATGAACCGTAGAATACGTTTAGCGGCCTGTAGATGAGAGGTATGAGGTTGGTGCATGAATTGACATACTTGATTTACTGAAAAGGCAATGTCTGGTCTGGTAAGTGTGAGATATTGTAGGCCACCAACCATGCTGCAATACTCAGTAGCATCTGGAAGTAGGTCACCCTCATGTAACGACAATCGAGAATTGGGAGCACTATGAGTAGTAGCCGGCTTGCATCCAGTCATGTTGAATCTTTCCAAAAGATCCAGAGCATATCTAGTCTGTCTTAGCTGCAAAGTTTGGCAATTTCGAGTAGCCTCAATGCCAAGGAAATAATGTAAGTTGCCAAGACGACGACTGTCAAAAGTGTTGCATATCACATCAATGATAGAGGAAACAGCGGAAGGAGAGGATCCGGTGATAATTATATCGTCGACATAGATTAGAAGAATGGTAGTAGACTCATTCGTGTGTTTGATGAATAAAGAGGAATCAGATTGGCTGTTAAAGAATCCGTGGTGTAATAGAAAATCATGAAGTCGTTGAAACCATGCCCGTGGACTTTGTTTGAGACCATAAAGGGCACGGTCTAGTTTGCACACATGATTTGGGAAGGATTTAGAGATGAATCCCGGTGGTTGCTTCATATAAACATCTTCATGAAGAATGCCATTGAGAAAGGCATTTTTGACATCCAGTTGTTTGATATCCCAACGTTGAGCATGGGCTAAGGAGAGAACAGTACGAATTGTTGATGGTTTAACCACCGGGCTGAATGTTTCTGCATAATCAAGTCCTTCCTGTTGGGTGAACCCTTGTGCCACCAATCGAGCCTTGTGGCGTTCAAGGGAGCCATCAGCTTTTCTTTTGACCTTAAAAATCCATCTGCATCCCACAACATTCATACCTTGCTGAGAAGGAACAAGGTGCCAAGTCTTGTTTTTGTGTAGGGCAGTAATTTCCTCTTGCATTGCATGTTGCCAATGAGGAAATTTTGATGCTTGTTTAAACGTTCGAGGTTTAGAAAACACATCATCTAATTTGGTGGCTATCAGACCATGGGGCAATGGATGGGGTGATGTTTTCTGGTAGATATCAGCAAGGGACCTGATTTTGAGGGTTGGGTTTAAACTTTCTGGACTTTCAGTGGCTGGATGTGTAATATTTGAAGATGCAGGTATGGCAGGTGAGGGAGTGCATAACTCAAGAGTGACTTTTTGAACTTTGGGTGAAGATGATGCAGTGGTGGCTGGTGAAGAAGATGTATCTGGAGTGAAGTTTACTTGTGATGTCTGGCCAAAGCTTGTATGTTGATGGTCACCTGGTATTGTTGTAGGCGTGGTTGGTGTTGAAGGATCTGGTGTTGGAATTGAGCTTGGGGTGGGAGTTGTTTGCTCAATAATTGGATTGTGGATTTCTGTAGAGTTTTGAGCTGTTGCAATGTTGGGTTGTGAGGTGGCAGGTGAGGTTGAAAACGAGTGTTGCATATCTTCAGCCATATGGTTGGTCCTCAGTTGTTGCTGTGTTTGACCAGGTACAGACCCTGCACTTTTATTTCTCAAAGGAAAATCTAATTCATCAAAAACAACATGTCGTGAAATATAAACACGACCATTTTTTAAGTCCAAACATCTATAGCCCTTGCGAGTATTATTATATAGCCAAGAAAAATACAGTGAGTTGATTTTGGCATAAGCTTGTGAGAATTATACGGCTGAATGTAAGGAAAGCATGAACATCCAAAGACTTTGAGAAAGCGATAATCAGGGTCACGCAAGAGAAGTTTTTGGTAGGGAGAGAAAAAATCTAATTGACGCATTGGGAGTCTGTTGATGAGGTACACAGTAGTGCTAAATGCTTCAAGCCAAAACTTAAATGGAACGTGTGATTTTGTCATAAGACATATACCCATTTGGACTATGTGTCTATGTTTTCGTTCCACTACACCGTTTTGTTGAGGTGTATAGGGACAAGTGATTTGATGTTTAATTCCCCATTTTGACAAAGAAGCTTTAAATTGCCTCCTAATGAATTCACCACCACCATCGGTTTGTATAGTCTTAACAGAATGAACAGCTGTGATTTTTCTAGATAACTGATTCTCAATTTGTGTTTTAAAAGTGGCAAAAACATTAGTAACATCAGATTTATGAAACAATGGAAAAAGCCACACATAACGAGAGAAATCATCGATTATTGATAAGTAAAAACGATGACCATTCATAGAAAGAACCGGGGAAGGGCCCCAAACATCAAGGTGAAGCAATTCAAGAGGATGAGAAACATTAAAATTCCTAGGAACAAAAGCTATTTTAGTTGATTTTCCCATGGGGCATACATGACAACACTGTGTTTCTGAAAGTTTGCCATTTATTGGTAAATTAAACTTGCTACAAAGAACTTTAAGAATATTAGAAGAGAGGTGTCCTAAGCGATCATGTCAGGTGTTGGGAGTTGACCGTTCGCCTAAGAGAGCAACTGGACTGTGAGGTGTATTTGGATTGAATGACAGCTGATATAGACCTCCAAAACTATGACCAGTTAGAAGAATCTCCCGCGTTTGAATGTCCTTAACACGAAAACCACACCAGTCAAGTTCAAAGAAACAATTGTTATCTTTAGAAAATTGGTGAATGGACAATAGAGGTTTGTGCAAATTTGGAATAAACAAAACATTATTCAACTTAAAGAAACGATTCTTATGAAGGAAAGCAGATTTACCAATATGAGAGATAGGTAAGCTTGTGCCATTACCAAAAATCACTGAATTTTTACATGTATAATGAGAATAATCGGACAGGCTAGAGGGATCCGGTGTCATGTGGTTTGTAGCACCCGAGTCCAAGACATAAGGTTCAGATTGTGAGAAGTATGCAACATTGTTACGTTGTGCACAAACTCTCGCATCATGACCATACTGATAGCAAAGTTGGCATGGAGAATCGTAGTCAGGAAAGTGCCCCTGGTGAGATGGAGTGGGTAAAATTCCCCTGCCATGAGAACTTCCTCCTCTGAATGATCCTCTTGTGCGACCACCACCACGTCCACCTCTATAATTTCGTCCATAACTATTGCTCCATTGTTGTCCAACCCAATTATTTCTTCCCTGGTTGCCGCCTCTACCAGAATTAGGGTTACCACGACCACGGCTCCCCCTATTACCATTCCCGCTGTTATTGGGACGAGATGATGACTGAGGTTGAGAAGGGGAGGTTTTAGTTGCAACTAGGGCTGTAGTCTGCTCAACCGGAATTGCAAATTTTTGTTGTAACATTTCTTCTTTAAGAAGCAATTCCGTCAGTTCATCAAGATTAAGTGATTGTCGGATATGTGATGAGGACATAGAGGTGAGAAATTCTTTGAACTCAGCACCGAGACCACCAAGAATGCGCTGAATAAGTTCATAGTCTTCAAGAGGTTTTCATTAAGCAGTGAGGGAATCTGATATAGTTTTGGGTTGGAGAAGATAATCTGAAACCGAGAGGTCAGTTGGTTTCTTCAGGTTGTGAAGACGGTCCTGTAAGTTTTCAATTTGGATAGCCGATATGGAGCCAAAACGCTTTGCTAGAACACTCCACGTTGCAGGTGCAGTGTCACACGAGTTTAGGTAAGGTTGGATGGCAGGGGTAACAGTGCCTTTTATCCAGCAGCAGATCAGGTCGGTTGCATTCTTCCATTTGTGGTGATCTGGGTTCTCTTTACCATCAGCAAGGGTTTTTGGGGGTGGGTTTGGGTCAATAACAAATAATAGTTGGTGGGCTCGTAGAAGTGTTTTTAACAGGGTACTCCAGTTTACATAATTCTCTTTGGTAAGATGAGTGTGAGCCATGATGGCATTAGGGTTGTAGAAAACGGGAAGAGATTGAGAATTAGTCATTCCTGATGAGCCAGAATCGTTAGTCATGGTTGATTCAGAATCCATGACCAGCTCTGATATCATGAAAGACTATACAGGGGAGAGAAGATAATATAGAAAGCGTATGGAGAAGAAGAACTATAACAGTGAAGAGAAAAACCCCCAACTTGGGTGTCTCAATCAATATACTGCAGAATATATACAGAGTAATTACAAGGGTAAAAAAGGAAATACCATCAATTATAAGGCAAAGATTCTGCCTTAATTACAGGGCATAAATGCTTGATTACCAAGCCTAACAACCATACTAAAAATATATAAAACAATTTATTTTGTTACAATATTTACGCTTACACTCTGCACACTCTGAAACAACAAGGATTTTTAAATTGCAGAACGAAGAGGACTGAGGATGCAGTGAAGACTTCGCCTCAACATCTTCAAGATCATTCATACCATCCACACTTAAACACAGCACCACCGTTTTCTCAAATAACTCGTTAATTCTAGATCCCATTAGTTCACCTTTTTGGGTTACCAACTTCAACGTGTTTTCTAAAGAGTGCTTTCTTGTTATGAAATCATAATCTTCGTTTAAAGAACCTCCCATCGAGACCTTGAATCGTTCAAGATTCTCAAATGATAGATTCTTCCAATGAGCATCATTTTCAAAGATGTCAAATTCCAGAAAGGTTTTTCCAACGTTCAACCACTTCATTGCAGTTATCACCTTTAAAGTTGATGGTCTCTCCATGATAATCAAAAGGGCATGCATAGAGCTCTTCAAGTCTGACCAAATTTTTAAATACACCGTTATCTATACGAAGACCGCCACAACCTGTCACATCCAGTACCCTTAACTTCTTCAAATTTCTGATTGTTGAAGGTAGAGATCTAATGCCAGATTTAGCAAAGCTGAGCACTTCCAGATTCGAAAGGCTTCCAATAGAAGAAAAATCAAACATCAATGAGCATCGGTGGAGACGAAGCACTCGAATGTTGGTGGAGCATTCAAGTGATGAGAACAGCAATGGATACTTCATATGATCAGATGATATAACCTGAAGCTTTCCCATTTCTTTATAAAAGTTTCGAGGAAATCACAGCGACTTATCTCCACGCATAAGTTTCAAAATCGATACATTTGGAAATTTGAGGTCACTAGGAAACTCAATCATACCCTTGCATGTTAATGAGATTCTTTTGCAAGAGGCACCCACATCAATATCAGTTTCAGGCCACCCTAGCTTACTGCTACCAAGGTTGACAATTGAAGCATGCTCCACTTTAGAAAACATATCCAAAACAAAAGCACGCACCAGATCGTGCATCTTGACACACCTAACAGCATCACACCCGATCAACAAATTGGTATGTATAAGCCGCTCAATGCAGGTGTTCAGCTTGTATCTTGCTTCTCTTATAGTATTTATTCCCTTGAATAATTTTAAGCCCCATCCATACCTCAAAAGATCCTCAGTAGGAATATTGAAGTCCTCCGGAAACAAACCACAGAGCAAAAAAGTAGCTCCAGTCACCTCGTCTTGGAGATTGTCATAGCTGGTTTTGAAAACAGCAGGCGCAACTGTGTTAATGTCATGGTGTTGTAAACAAGAAAGTGCATTCTTCCATGTATCCTTGTTTTTACTTCTAAGAGTGCAGACCATGGTTTTGATGGCAATGGGTAGACCGCAACACTTCCTTACAATTTCTTCTGCTATGTTATAGAGGTCAGGATCAACATCATCAGAAGGTCCCCAAAGTTGGAGGAAAAGGCTTTGTGCTTCTGCTTCTGTTAAAAGCCCCACGTTAAGAACCAAATCAGCCTTAACTCCCATTTCGGTGCAAACAGCTTGGTCCCGTGATGTAATCAATACCTTGAAGTCGATGCCTTGATTTAGCAAACAGCTTAAACCAATATCTTCCAAATCAACCGGCTTCCAAACATCATCCAGTATTACGAGGAACTTACTTTCACCTCCCTTTAATTTGGCCTCAAACCCTTGACGAAGTTCGTCGACTCTTACCTGTTTAGCTTGGTCCTTTAGCTGTATACCCAGGTAACTTGCTATAGATTCCTGAATAGCATTGATGTCCGGATTTTCCCCTACAACAGCCATAACAAAATAACTGAACATTTTCTTTTCAACTACAGTCTGTTGGAGAAAGCATATTAAGACAAGGAGATAGAAAGAGAGATTCTTGTACAGAAAACAAAAGCTTTTATTATTAATCACTAATCAACACACTTTACATAAGATTATTACATGTATATATAGAGAGTATACGACATATTCTTGAACCATCATAATGGTTGGCATATTCTCGAACCATCACAATGGTTGTGTAACCTTTGCAACCCTTAGAGCAATAACTACCAACTTGTAACTGCCCCATCTTTCTTTAAACGACATTTACTAAAAACTAACTCTAGCTTAATATTTCAACACAGTCTGCCTCAGCTTCTTCATCATAGTGGTCTTCCCCACTCCGCCCATCCCCCATAAGGCTACCATATGAGGTTTGTGGTCGGGTCTGAGTGCTTTCAGTGCTTCTGTAAAAGTATGCACTCTTGACTGGAAGTCATTGTGATCACCTGATGGTGTAGAGGTGGATGTCATGGTGGAATCAATTCTTCCCAAAGGAATTTTCTCATCAGTCCATTTGATCAGAGAGAGTTGTGTTGTGATACTATCTATCTCGTTGATTATCTTGGAGGCTTTGCTTCCAAGTTTGTGCCTACTCTTGAAATCGAGACAATCGAGGTCTTCACTTGGAAAGTTTTTCACTTTTGCATTAATATTTTGTATTTTGTCCAACCAAGGGCTAACCTGGTCAGGCACCATAAGACGTATTCTTATGTTCCGGTCCAAGTGCTCTTTTTCGCCAGCTCTTGCAACATTCAAATAGTTCATTTTGGTATGCATCTCGACCACATATTTTCTGTAGGAAATCATGTAGCCCAGATGCTGTTTAACAGGATCCATGAGAACCTGAACAACTTGTTTTATTATTTCAGTAGCGACATCCATTGCTGAAAATTTCCTCTTGTCGTAAAACCTGCATACATGGCATAGTAGCCAACAAGATAACAAAGGGAATTTGAGGGTAATCTATAATCAAGCCATTATATGCATCATAAATTCATTTCATTGAGTATGGTTGTATTAGCTTTGGCCCATAGACCAATAATGTAATTGTAACATATAGAAAGTGTCGATCTCATTATCTACAGCTAAAGTTTTGATAACTTTATAGAAAATGATGGTAATAGAAATTAACAAAATGGATTTTCAATATGATCAGCTTTTCAGGGATTATTTATTATGTTTTATAAAGAAAATCCAAAAACATATATGAAGTTTGAATGATTAAGAGAATATTAATATTTAAAAGTTTTATATAGACATAGCGGGTAAATGATAGACCCTGATACATTTCTTGAACTGATAATATTAAGATGATAATCCCATTCATTCCAGAGGAATGGACTCTCCAAAGAAGAACACAGCTCTCAACAATATAATTCTTAGCACCCTAAACAATAGCCTCAAAAGGAAAATAAATACTAGACAGGACTGTGGTCCCAAAAACAGACCTGGGACAAAGATAGTGGTCCCACATAAACAGATAGAAAATCAAAAAGAGCAAACTACCCCTAGACCCAAAATAGACAAGATAACTCTAATAAAGCAATTCAACTAAAAGAAATCAAGGCTGAGTTGGGGCTTATAGTAGACGAGCAACAAGTTGTGACGCAACCCTTTTTTGGACACTTGTCAATGTTTTCACCGGCCATCGTTCCAAACCAAAGTTTATTTTAATAGAAAACAATGACAACCAAGTTGGCGACATTAGCTTTGGTTCTTTGATATTTGTTTTTTCTAAAAACCATTTCTGACCACTTATTGTTGCGCCGCGCAGCACATGGCCCTCCGCAGTTGTTTGCTTTTCAGAAGACTTCTGACTTAAAAACTGTTGTGTGTGTGATGCATGGCGCAACACTGGACCCTCTGTTTCAAACCTCTTCACACCTTACTTCAACTTATTGCAGCAGTCTGCAGAGGTTAAAAAACAAACAGACTTTTTATTACATGTTGCAGCCGTTTGGTCCCCCTCTTCTGCTACAGAGGGTTGCAGAGGTGGTCCGCAGACTTCAGACATTTTTGCTTCGAAAAAACAAACAGAACCTAAATGAAGTTCCTTCCAACCTTAGGATGCCCCACATTCTTGCCAGTTTCAACCACACCCTTCACATTGGCTTTCCCAAAAGGAAGCTTCTTTATCAGCTTCTGATTTGCGTTTGGCCTAGCGTTGACTTCTTTGGTGCTCCAACCAGCAATAACTTCACTGACAACTCACACATTTCCTCAATAATAGATCTGTTTCACCACTATATCAATTTCACTCTTCTTCTTGCTATACACTACATTGTTTTGGGTTTCCATCTTTGCAATCAATGCCCGAGTCTTGTTCACACGACCTCCCTTAGAAATTACAATGGGTTTTCAAAATCAAATTCAAGTATTTTACACTTTTTCCTTACAAAAACCTTGAGCTTATGAAGGAACTTATCTTCGTCAATGTTGTTATCTAGCATCACAAAGAGTATCCAAATTAAGAGATTTTTCAGTAGGGGTGCAGTTCTGCTGCTAAGTTGCAGCATGTTATCATACAGTTAAAGTGCATTGTCACCAATTCCCCTTTCATCTTGGGTTTTATATTTGCCAGCTTTATGGCCTGAAGAAGGCTGACTTAATGATGGCATGAGCACAGTGGAGAATATCTGATGGTGTAAGAACTCGTGTTTTCTGATCTTGATATGGTATTGCTACGATCAATGAGCACTTGAGAACGTCTTTTGTAGTAAGTTATGTGTGGAATGGAATTGAAAATTTGGGAAATCCATCAATAAGCAGACGTAATTGTTCTAACTATCGGAGCAGCAGCTGAAATATTCTATAGCTCTACCGCTTTCAGACCAAGAAAAAACCCAACATTCCCATCTTTATATGAGAGCTTAGAGATACAATTTCCAAAGCACACTGAAGCTCCATATAACAGCTAATGATGGTTCGGATACTTTTTTCAAGCAATTGCATAAATGTTTACGGAGATCGGTTACTGTATCAGCATTGAAAACAGAGGTTCGAAAATCAAACATCCTTGGAGGGTTGGTTATCGCTGGCGTCGACCCCTTACGAGCTCAAAAGAAGATCCACTGCCTTTAATGGTTTGCGGTTATCAGAAACTGCGGAATCGAAAAGGGATATTGCACCGGCAGGGTGTTTCTTTTTCAAACAATTACTGAAATCATAGCGGCATGCGGGCTACAGTGTTTGGTTTTGTTGTTATCTATCGTCCATTGTTGTTGAGGACAAGTTTCCTGTGCGCCGATCGGCCGAAGTGAAGCGGACGTAAACGGTGGTGGTGTCGTCGCTGATGGTGGGGCAATTGAAATTGTGTTATATTTGATTTAAGAAAAAAATTGTAGAAATGGTGCTTGTGGTTTGGGAAAATGACTTAAAAAGGTAACTATGTTTTAATTTTGTACAAAAAACACCATTTAAGTATACCCTGTTGAAAACATACTAACTAACTAAAGAATTAGTTCAAAAAATACCATCTAAAATCACATTTTGCTCTTTGATTCAGTGTGGTAACCAGTTCTTCCGGTGAGGATGTAAATGTTACCGGGAAGAAAAAAAATAAACAATTACGTGGCTTCTCCCTCTATTACGTGGAATAACCCTTTCGCAAAAATCAAAATCACATAGAACGTTGGAGGTTTTTTCACAGACGGTGAAATTAGGGTTCGCTTTTCACGCCGATTTTTCCCTCAAGGTGCAAGGTATGCTTACTGTCGATGTTTACCATGGTGGGAACTTTGTCCCTAAGCCATTAGTGTACTTCAATCCTTTGAAAAAAATCCGTTACGGGAGTTGATTTCAAAAACATGAGGTTTAAGGAGTTCATCTTACAGCTTCGAAAATTAACCAAGGAAAGGTGCAATGATGTATATTATTGTCTTCAAAATCGGTCTGTGGTAGATGGATTGAGAGAACTAAGAGATGATAATGACTATGTAAGGTTTCTTGATGTTGGGTATGCCAATGATTGTAAAATCAATGTGTACATTGATGAATATTAAGAGCCAGTCATGGAGTGGATTGACGAAGAAAAAGCTGAAGAAGGGGACACAGAAAGTGATGAATATGAGGATGATGTAGACTTAGTCATGTCAGATGATATATCATTGGACCATGAACTTGATGATGAAGTTATTCCATTAAAGAAATCTACAGATCCGTTTTTGGCCCACACAAATGTTATTCCAAAAGGAGGGGTTAATGATGAAGATAGTAGCAGCACAGATGAATTTTACTTTCCTGTTCATGATCCTAACCAACAATGGGATACAATGAAACCTGTCTTAGGTATGAAATTTTGTGATCGTTATGAACTTAAGCAAATGATTACCAATTATGCTGTTTCTAATGTTTATAAATTGTGGTATGAAAAAAATGATGAAACAGATTATTAGTTAGGTGTAGTAAAGTTGAAGGAAAGGCATGCTGCCCTTTTAGATTGTGGGCTACTTGGTTGAGCCAAGAAAATTCATTCCAAATCAAGTCACTAATTGATGAACATAATTGTTGTAGAGCAATAAATCTGGGGTCAATTGTCATATTTAGGTGGATTGGAAAAATGTTAATTCGTGACATATTGGAAAAGCCCAGGCTTAGTTACAAGAAAATGAAAGCGTTGGTAAAGACTAATTTTGGTCTTAATGTGAGTGTCGGGCAATGTAGAAATGTTAGAAGGTTTGCATTGGATGAAATTGAGGGAAGTTTGGTGGGACACTATGAAAAGATATGGAACTATGGTGCTGAGTTGTTGAGGGCTAATCCGGATTCAACGGTCCAAATAGATGTAGATATTATGCCTGATTCTACAGTGTACTTTTCGAAGATGTATGTTTGCTTGAAGGGTGTCAAAAATGGATGGATTGAAGGGTGTAGGAGGGTGATTGGTATTGACGGATGTTTTCTGAAGGGTATTTGTAGAGGTGAGGTATTAGCAGCTGTTGGTAGGGACTCCAACAATCAAATATATCCCCTGGCATGGGCTGTAGTTGCAGTTGAAAACAAGAAAACTTGGAAGTGGTTCTTAGATCTACTACTTGATGACATTGAGATGGGAGATGGGACAGGGCTAACAATCATTTCTGACCAGTATAAGGGTCTAGTTGAGGTTGTAAAGGAGAGAGTGCCAGGAAGTGAGCATAGGCAATGTGCTAGGCACATCTATACCAACTTTAAGAAAAAGTTTACAGGTGTTGAGTTTAAGAGGCTTTTTTGGATTGCTGCAAAGTCTACAACACAAAAAACATTTGAAGCTACAATAAGGGAAATTAGGCAACTTAGCATAAATGCTTATGACCACTTGATGGAAAGAGATCCAAACACATGGTGTAGGGCATTTTTTTGGAAGATAGGTGTTGTGATGCCGTAGAGAATGGCATATCAGAATCCTTCAATTCTGCAATTGTAGAGGCAAGGAAAAAACCGATAATAACTATGCTTGAAGAAATTAGAGTCTATGTCATGGAGAGAATGTTCAATCAAAAGAAGAAAGGAGAAAAATGGAACTTGCCAATCTGTCCCTCCATCAGAAGGAGGATTGAGGATTTGAAAAAAGCACAAAGGTTTGTTACTTACTTCAAAAGCTAATTTACTTAAGGTAAAATAATTAATTTTCTATAACATTTCATCACATGTATTGGGAAGTTACTCCAAGTGGTCCACAACAATATGAGGTCAGATTATTGCATGAAGGATATGGAGTTGACTTGAACAACAGAACTTGTGCATGCAGATCCTGGCAGACTAGTGGGATACCGTTTTTGCATGCCATTGCAGCAATATTGTTTTTGAATGGGAATGTAGAGGACTATGTTTCAGTTTGGTTCACAACAGGCATGTTTGGAAGTTGCTATAGATATACAATAAAGCCAATTAATGGAGCTGATTTATGGCCAACTGTAGTTGCCAATACCATCTTGCCACCAAGACGTAGAAGGCTGCCTGGGAGACCAAAGGTGAATAGGAAGAAATGTCCTACGGAAAAAGAAGGAAGGCATATTGTTAGTAAGAAGGGAGGGATTCCAAAATGTGGTCATTGTAAGCAAGAAGGTCACAATAAAAGAACATGTCCATTGTTGAACCAAGGTTGGCTTCTTAATTACAATACACATAACCATTTTCTCTTGATTACAATACACAAACATTTTCTCTTGATGCAGTTACAAATGAAGTACCAGAAGACGCGTTTGTGGCAGATGAAGTAGAAGACCATCAGGAGGAGTATGTAGCGGATGACATAGAAGACCAGGAGGAGGAGTATGTGGCAGATGAAGTTGACGACCAGGAGGAGGGTTATGTGGTAGATGAACCTGTTGCTGATGTGGGGGGAAGCAGGGAAAACATTAGCAGTGTGAAGAAGAGAAAAGGCCCTTCTGAGAGAATCATAAAGATGAAGCTGAAGAGAAGGGTGGGCGGTACTGGGGATAATATTGGAAAGCCAGTTAATTTAAGTTAGGTCGTGTGTTTGTGTATGCCTGAAATGTGAAAGGCACATCTTTTGGTGCATAGTGCACATAAAACTTATGTTTGTTTATGCCTAAAACTATTAAAGACGCATCTTTTGGTGCATAATGCACATAAAACTTATGTTTGTTTATGCCTAAAACTTTGAAAGGCACATCTTTTGGTGCATACTGCACATAAAACTATTGTTTAATGTTAGTTTGCACAATTACCTCTACCTTGTTAAATTTTTTAATTAGATGTGGATGTATCAACTGTTGGAAGGGGTAAAATCGTCCAACTTGTACCAGCCATATGCTGATGTAATCATGTGTTTCTACTCTATGATAAAATTGACAATTATGCCCTTTTGTCCCATCTCATTGATCTCATAATAATACAACATACCATGACCTATTTTTTGTCCCATTTGTCAAGTTCATATGCAATATACCCCTGTTTAGTTTGCAGCCTCCTCTGTTGACCAATATACCCCTATGTAGTTTAATACCTTCACTGTTATACCAATATCATTTTTTTTTGTTTTATCAAAAAACCAAAATGATAAAATTGACAATTATGCCCTTTTGTCCCATCTCATTGATCTCATATTAATACAACATACCATGACCTATTTTTTGTCCCATTTGTCAAGTTCATATGCAATATACCCCCTGTTTAGTTCGCAGCCTCCTCTGTTGACCAATATACCCATGTTTAGTTTAATTCCTTCACTTTTATATCAAAAAAGCCTTCACTGTTATACCAAAACCATTTATTCACTGTTATACATCACTTTTATAGTTACAATTACACTACCATTATAGTTACGATTATAGTTAAAATGTGTTTAAATTCAAAAAACACAAAACAAAGAAAATAGAATAAACATTAAAGGGCAGCAAAAGCACCCTTGATTACATTACCATTATGCCCTTGATTACATTACCATTAAAGCTACAAAAGCATCCCTTTACAAAACACATTGGAATCAGCCATTCCATTTATTTTCCCTATACTACATCATGGATTTCACTACAAGCAGAACAAAAAGTATCCACAAACAACATTTTTGAATCTCTAATGTCCTGCTCATTTCATCGAGTTTTTTTCTAAAACTCATACCATCATCATCTGTCTTCATCTTGTAAGATTTCAAATCATTTTCCAATATTGAAATCTTGACTTCGATTAAGTTTGTTTCTAGTTCTTCTTCATCATCATCAACCCATTTTCAGAACTTACAACTTTCCTTATTTCGATCCTTCATATTCAGGAAAATAAGTCACATAACCAAGAAATTATTTAGGAGATGGAAATAAAAAGATTTAAGCTAAACTTACCAAGGAGTATGGAAAAACCATAAACTTTTTTCCAGGATTAGCTTTGGTTGTTGATGTCCAAATTCGAGCAATGTACCCACAATCACAATGCTTTCTACCAAGATTAGATTTTGAAATGTTGGTTCTTGACTTGGATATGACGGATTTAGAGGAAGAAGAAGACGCCATGGAAGAAGGAGGAAGTCGTTACAGAGGAGTAGAGATTTTTGCCCTAATTTATTTCAACGATGGGTTATAAGGGGGGATATATCCTACCTGTAAACTCCATGCCAACTAGATAATCCACACATTAAGAAAGATGCCAAGTCAGCCATTCCCATCTCCACCCAGTTACCACATTGAATCAAAGAGCAAAATGTGATTTTAGATGGTATTTTTTGAACTAATTCTTTAGTTAGATGGTATTTTTTGAACAAGGTACACTTAAATGGTGTTTTTGTACAAAATTGAAACATAGTTACATTTTTAAGTCATTTTCCCTTGTGGTTTATAAAAACATGCAGGTTCAGTCCATTTATTAGACAATGCGCTTGACCTGACCAAAATACAAAAAAAAAAAAAAAAAAAAAAAAAAAAAAAAAAAAAAATTGTTTTGTGGTTTAGGTCCGTCAACTTAACTTCCATCTACTTTTGCCCGTTATTACCACATGTGGGAGCATTTTCATCATTTTAGGTTGGAAACCACACGGTCTCTTCTTTTGAATAAGACCCAATATTTCTTTTGTCTTCTTCGTCTCACCCAAGGTATTGAACTCAGAGTAAATATACATAGACAAAATAAATAGACAATGGTGATGTGGCCATCGTATAAAATACATATTTGACCATAAACACCAACAATTGTAACTTAAAACAATAGAAAGTAAATAAACCCATAAATATCCACGAGGAAAATAGAAGGCTAGACAGATTTTATATTACAAAACGACGAATTCAAACGATATACACTTTTATTATACAATATAAGAGTCACTACAATATTAATTGTACTTAATAACATGTAACTATACTACATAAGCAAAATACAAGACTTGAAACAACCTGTATATAACTCCTTCATAATTCAAAAGCCACATTTTGTGTGTTTGTAAAACAAATAAATTACCAACATTTTTGTAACAATTATTAGGTTTTATCATCGGGTATGTCAACACTAGCAACAATGTTGGCAGATTGTCTTGGAGTTGTTGACTTTCCTATGTCACTTGGTTTGACTTTGACTTGAGCATCTATAGGTGGCTCACTTGTACTCTTTGATTTCCCGTGTCCTTTGTCCTTCTTTTTAATATGCTCATGCCAATTCATTAGATGTTTCGATGTGTGATCATCGAAAATAGACCTCTTCATTGTTGAACCCATCTGAATTTGTCATAATAAACATATTTTACTTAGATGCTTAAATCAAAGATAACAATGTATTTTCATTTTTTTCTTTCTATTACAAAATTTTGTATTTTGAAAAATCTACCTTATTATATCAAATTTCATCTAATTTCTATTGCTATAATTTGGGAGATTTTTGAAAGTACAAAGTCTTGATGAAAATTATCTTTTTTAGTTGAATGTTATAATTAAATAGATTTTTCTAAGTAAAATGTCTTGATAAGAAAAAAAAAACAAAGGTAGAATGTTGTAATACAAAGAAATGAAAGTTGACGCTATAATAAATAAATTAAAAAATGAAAGTATGATGTTATTTCTATCATATGGAATAATAAGTCTATGATTTAACCTCAGACTTGTATCATATGGAATATAACAACTACCTGAGTAACAAGGGCATAGAGTGGAAGTATGCTGTAACTGCATAAGCCTTGCACGAGAACTCTGTCAGAATAAACGTGAAATATCAACACAACTTTATAATAATTAATAATCTAATTTAAAGAAACAAATTAAGAAATCGGTATCAAACTTACCCTATAATGACTCTACCATATTGAAGAAAAGGATTTTCGTAAAAGCAACTATCAAGGCCAAATTCATACTGCAACAGATAAAAAGGACATCTCAAGTAGTATTAAAAAAATGAAACTTAATGAACAAAGTTGGAATGATTAAAAATAATTACCCATATCCAAAAGAAATGTGTTAGCTCAAATGAATTCTGCAAATAAATAGAAAAAACAAATAAATCACTTATTTGCATTTATTAATCATGGTTTTATTTAAAAATAATAACAATAAAGTATGCAAGAGTGAGCAATATATAGAACTTCCATGTTGGTTTTTTTGCAACAAAACTAAGGAAATAATGTCACTTTAGCATACTTTTGTCTTTTTCATTTAAGCAAAAGGCTAAATGCAAGAAATAGCAACGTATTTCCATTTATTTGTTTATTATAGCATCCTGCTTTCAGTTCTTTCTATTGCAACATTTTTTATTAAGGCATTATTCTCTGATAAATCTACTCAATTATAGCATGGTACTTGTATTTGGGTATAATTTCGGTAGATTTTTCAAAGTATAATACCGTAATACGAAGAAATGAAAGTACGATGTTATATTTTTTGTTTATATATTGTAGCATCCTACATTCATTTCTTTCTATTACAACATGGTACTTAGTTAAATCTTTTTTCTTATGAAGGCGATATAGTCTTAAAAATCTACCCAATTATAGGAGTGGAAATTGGTATGATTAGGTACATTTTTTTAAAGTACAATGTTGTAAAATAAAATGGAAGTAGGTTGTTAATAGAAGGAGATGAAAGAATATGTACCTGAAAGAGGGTGAGTTGAATAAGGTATAGAATAAGTCTAGGTTGACTAAAACCAGAAGTGTCTGTCAGAGAGTTCCACAACAGGTATCCCTTGTGTCACCGATTGTCGTTCTTGAATTTCAACCGCCATTTGTGTTACAATTGCTTGAAGCTTTGTTCCAACCGCTAACAGAATCTTTAACAATTTTTTTGTTAAAAGACTAAAATACCCTTAATTATATACATATTGAAAAAAAAAACGAGTTAAATTTTAAGAAAATTTTCAATTTTGATAATTGAATTCCATTCCATGTCGTCAGATATTCCAATTCCTTTGAGGCTTTGATGTAGACAAGTGTTATGGGCCAAAACTAATGTTGCTACTACTTTATTATAGCCGAGCATTACCCAACATATTAAAGGTCTTGTTTAACTTAAAAAATTCAAATAAAATTATTGTATTTATTTTGGGTACAATTAATTTATTCCAGTAAGAATATGAATGAAAGAATATAGGAGATGGATGCTTACAATTACAGGAAACAAAGAGAGATAAGTCATAGCACGAGCTCCTGCAAATGTTTCCAACAGAGTGAGTATAGAAAATTAATTAGTGAATAACTTTTTTAATCAATGTATTTGGTGTGAACGTTTTAATTATTGTACTTTAAAAAAATGTATAAAAAAGCATTGTAGTTAACAAGTATAAATGAAAATAAATACAAGTTAAAAGTATCATGGTAATGCAACTATGACATTTTTTATATTTTTGGAAATATAGTACATGGCTAATACACCGAACCAAATACATTGATTAAAATTTTATTTATCCTTTAAATATAAAAAAAAATGGACATCTCACCATCAACATTTGCAAAAAGGAAAAGCACTGCGGTAGCCCATAATATCGGGCTGGAAGCATCATAAAAAATGGTCAGATAGATAATAAATAAAAATAAGAATGTTACAGTTTTTTAATTATTGCATATTATTTTCGTTATATAATTATCATTATATTTTTCGAAAATGCAATAATGGCAAATACTAAGATATTACAGATAAATAATTACCTGATTCCTACAATTACTTTAAAGTCGTCTTCTAACGACCTCTTTATATATTTTTGAAAGTTGAAGCGACTCCCAGGAGACAAATGAACCTATATCAAAATTGGAAACAAAAAAATAGTAGACATGTTTGTAATTATTGCGTTACATCTTAATACATTTATAAAAAAAAAATACATATAGAAACCCTAACTAAATATTATATTTGTAAAGCTTAAAACATTATAATCAATGTATTTGGTATTAGGTTAAAGAACCATTTTAGTTGCAAATGTCAAATTAAACCTACACTAATGAAATCTTAGGACCATTTTTGTAATGAAATCTGAATTAGAGGTATATTTACTGTATGCACCCTGACTTATATAGTGAATGCACAATTGGTCCTCCAACTAATGTGAGATATTCTTCAGAAATATGGAGGGTGGTTAGTTTTCTTTTCTCCATAAAACCATGATCGCCAAGTAACGTCTCACCTTAGTTTGAGGACTGTTTCTGTCATCATGACATAGTTCAGGGCATAAAACGTAAATATACCTCTAATTTAGATATATTACCAAAATAGTCCTAAAGCCACATTAGTGTAGGTTTATTCTAACAGCAGGAAATTGAGAAAATATGTTCAAGTTTTTCAAGCACAAAACTTTTGTGGGATTTTAGCAATTGCGATGATGGTGACAATATTCATAACTCTTAAAGGAATAATACACAGAGTAATATAAAAATATTACCATTATACTTTATTATATAACTTCTAAAAGAATTTTGCAGTTGCAGAAAAATAAAAAATAAAATAGTATACACGTAAATCTTTGACAAAAATATTTGAACTTACACAAATACTATTTTCTTCTAGATTTTTTTTGCAACTACAAAGGGTGTCTTAGAAAAATAAATCAAAACTAAAATAGTTATAAATGTTAATCAAGATATACATAAAAAATGACACTAATTCTTTAGGCTTGTAAAACTCACAGAGAAAAAAGCATGGCGCATAGCCAAGTAATCTGATCTACGAACTGATGTAAAAAATTGCCGAAAGAAGCAAACCTGAAATTAAAAATAAATAAATAAAGAGACATTTTTAATGAGTAATTGAGTTTTCTAATCATCATAATATTTTCTAAACTACAGAAAAAAGAACACTAAAGTATGCAATTGTGAGTGCTCATAACTATCGTACCCATAGTTTTCTTACAAATTACCATTGAAATTGCCTGAAATTACTCACTAAAATACTTTGTGTATGTTATTTTTTTTCATTAATTTAAAAAACTATTGGTGATTATAAAACTATTTCACTTTATTATAAATCCCTTACAAGGTAAAACATTGCAGGAGTACTGGTAAAAGAACCAGTGTGATGTTTCACAAAAGATAATTCCTTGGTAAGCTTATACTTTGATGGATCTGCACATGAGCATATAGGGTCAATTTAGTCATTCATCATCGTTATTCAAAAATCAACTAAATTCATAGCAAATACATGATGATAATATAAATAGTACCTGCGTCATGGGGTACAAGTTCCTCCAAAATCTCCTTTTCCCATAACTTCCACTTACGTGTCTGCATTCAAAAAAATTGTAGCTTTTATTTAAGTGAGCAACATTTTTTAAAAATAACTAAATGAGTTTTTTAATCATCATATTTTATTAGAATTCCATGGCCTTATTCGTGTGTTTTTAAGGCTGAATGTGCATTTTAAGACTTTTGCAAATAAGTCAATGGCATCCAATGTAACATTTTAATAAAAAAACATTATTATAATATGTAAGAATAAAATTAAGATTCTAACCTTTGCTCTTCCAAAAATCATTGTGAAGGCACTATAAATTACATGAAACACAGCCAAGAAGAATATAAAGATATGCAATTGATGCAATCCAGCAACTGATATAATCTCCTCATATCCCTAATCACAATAATGCATTTGGATTAAAATTTTGTATATGAATCATTATAATTGTTAGAATATGAAAAGTTAAAATCATAACTGTTACTTGTCTTTAGCTTCCAAAAAACATCATTTCAGTTGTACATATTTTTTTATTCTAAAAAAACACATTTAAAAACATGGAGATTATAGCTTTGATAAATTCAAGACATATTTAAATAAAAATAGTTGATATAAATAAAAATAATATAGATTTTTTTTACAACGTCAACATATAAGAATTATAAATTTATGAGATACTTAAAGAAAGGTGATTTGATAGAGATTCATAAATATATGATATAGAAATTGAAACCGACTTAACAAATAATGGTTGTGTTTAGCTAGAGTCCAAATGAAAAAAATACATTTATGAACTACAAAAATAAAAAATAAAAATTAATACGTACATCCTATCTAATAAATGAAGGTTTTTTTGCCACATATCATCATCTAATTCAATATACCACATGTCATTTTTTTTTAATTTTTTCAATTTCATTTAAATCCACTTGGCAAATTGTGGTTTTTTTGGTTTTTTATTAAATTATAAAAAAAAATCTAATCTAAAAATATAATAAAGTAAATAAGGAAACTTAAATGTCTCCATAAATTTTCACGTAATTTGTCAATTAATGTATTAAATTCAATTTAAATTCAAATCAACTTTCCTAATTGAAAACCATAATTTTCGGTCAATCCCTTTTGAATTTACAATAATTTGCAGAAACCTTACAAAAATTGGTTCATTCACAGTTAATATTGATATTTTTTCCAAATTCAGTTTTATAAATTATTAAACATGTAATGCTTAACAAAATATATTAATCTTAAAAAAAAAAAAAAAAAAAAAAAAAAAAAAAAGAAAACACTCGTGTATTACACGGGTCTCACACCTAGTATAATTGTATACAGATTCTTAAAGTTTTTATAAAAATCATAAAAATAAAAACTAGTATAATTGTATACAGATTCTTAAAGTTTTTATAAAAATAATAAAAATAAAAACGGTTCCATGTAAATTAATACGTATGTACAAGTATAAGTAAATAATCATAAAATTATACATTATGAAATACTTAAATAAATGAATTTAACCAAAACTTTGGGAAAGCGGATGGAGAAATAAATTAAACGAGGGCAAATTGGTAATTAATCAAAGTGTTACCTCTTTGCATTCTACCGGAGCACCTCCTCCCAACCTTCTTTGTTCATACCACAATAATCTCCTCTTAGCGTCCTCATCATAACCACCTTCTCCATCTTCTTTATCATAATCTTCTTTCTTGCATGGCAAGAAATCCTTCGTAAGCTTCTTTGAAATACAAATCGATGCAATATAGTTCTGGCAAAACACCAGAAGCAACGAAATAAACCCAAGTACCATAAGCTCTGCATGCAATCCCAAATACATCATTAAATTAAACTCTATACCTTTAATTTTAGAATAAAAAAGAATATAAAAAAGGTACCATTTTTAATCTTGTCAAGTGCTTCCAACAGCCCTGCTTTTTTTCGTTTTTTAAAAAGCTAAAAACAGAAAATAGTAGATGAGAAAGGTGCTAAAAACAGAAAATAGTAGATGAGAAAGGTGCAACAAAATCAAATCGTGTTTATGTGATTTCATGATGAGAATTTGGATAATTACATGATGTACGCTATGAAGAACATGCTCCAACCCAATTGAAACTATGACAATGATTGCACAAACAACGGCAATGGACCACGTTGCCGTTTGATCGAACCCTCGTTCACCTGCCATTTTTATGTGTTATTTCTGATCGACGTTATTGCTTCAAGATCATCTCCTTCTAATCTGTTCTTGATTGTTTCTTGGTGTTTTCTAGTATGAAATGCAGACGATTTAATTGCAATCGATGATTGAAAGAATTCCCATTGATTCGATTTTGTTTAGAAAGGAAAAAAATTAGATTGGAAATGGAAACGTGAGATAGGATTTTTTTTGTTATGATTGAAGAAGAACGGATTAACGAGAGTGTTAATAGGGAATTTAGTTATGTGGTTTCAAACCATGGCCACACGATTTATGCTTACAAAAACATAATCCAGCATAAAACTTCGTAATGTTATATCATCATAATAATCATCATTCCAATTTCTAACCATTTCTTTTGGAAGACATTTGGCAAAAATCTAGACACCAATAAAATAAAAGCCTAAACACGTGTAGATTCGTTGGGAAGATTAAGTAGGACCAATTACAAGCTCGTTTTCATCCTAATTCAAGCCCGAAATGAAATTCATTACTAAAGCGAAAGCAATGTTTCCAAAAATATAAATAAAAAAATCGGATTTTTAAAGCACAATTTTAGGGCATTCGGGAAAAAAACTTCCGACCTCCAACTCTGGTGGTTTTGATTGCCTTCGACAACCAAACAGGGGGCTTTTCACCAAATAAACCAAAAAAAGTGCACGAAATTATGAAGTTATTTAGTGATGAAGACGATTCATACCTTTCATCACTTGTGCGAACTTGATTTCGGAGTAGATATTTGCTAATATATTAAGGTATTTCGCGCTCGATCCTTGAAATCTCCGATCTCCATTGGCTTGGATAGTAGAGATTCGAACGGACTTCAATCTTAAAGAAGACCTGTAAATCTGCAGGTATCTTGCATGCGTCCATGGCTATGTATTATGTAAAGCATATGCATATGCTTCTCTTTGATGTCGTGAAAATGCAGGTGGTTTTTCTCCTTCACCGTGAGTCGGCAAGTTTTGTATTTGTGCATTTTGGGTTATTTTGAGCGATTTCATTTGCATAAAATAAAAAAAATAAAATAAAAAAATTAATTTTATAAGAGTAAAATAAGCATTAGAACTTATTGTTTTGTACATATTGAAACATTATTATAATCGGTTACTCCAATTACGATCATATCACCTAGTTAGGTTAGGTTCTCAGTTTGTATACATCTAGTCCTTAATGGTTTTTATTTTTTTGCAGTTATTGTTGTTTTTTTTTAATGGGAAATGACACATTGGCCCAACGATGTATTTTGACATTGTGGAATCAGTCCTATAACTTATTTTTGTGTTTTATGAGGGAATAAACTCTAAAGTGACTTGTATTTTTAGTCCATCTAACCTATATTAGCCAATTTCATATGCCACTTAAGCATTTTTCCATTTAAAAGTCAAAATCACATTTTGACTATTTGTTCATTTCTCAAAATTCATTTAAAAATCAAAATCGGAGACTATGTCACCCTCAAAACTGCCCCCCAAGTTCTAGCGAGGTCTCAATCACCAAAATCATTGGAACCGACAACTCTGCCAATAAACTCAACAAAAACCCTATCTGTGATTGTATTGGTATTGTTGTCATATCCTCATGAGGATGCTCTAACATCCGATCTGTTGGCCTCTCTCTATCTCTAGAGGTTTCCCCCTCGGTTCCAACGTCGCTAGCGTCGTCATTGCGGTAACCGTTGTTAATGAGTTTTTTTGTGGAAAGTTACCTACATTGTATTTAGTCCTCGTAGGGCTGGAACTGAAAGTTAAAGTATCCGGATACCACGCCTATAACGTGCCGACAATCACGGTTGGTTCATTCTCGTTTGGAACTACAATCCTTTACTGTTGATTATGTTGCAGTTAGGTCGACAAAAACCTCTGCTTTGTCTTGGTGAATCCATAATTCGAAGCGCCAACGAAGAAGACGAGGGCGTGGTTACCAAAAGAGATAACAATGTTGCACCATGAATGGAACAATAGTCAAGTGGGTGCGTTGGTGGCAACAATTTTGTAGGGAGATCTGAAGGGGTTTGGAAAGGCGTTGTCTTCTAATAAGATAATGGAGCCGAGGAGGGTGCCATTGATTTTGGGAATGGATTGCACTTAAGGCAGGGGCTTATGGGTGTACGATCAGTGGAGCAGGGCCAACTACGGTGGCCGTTATAGATGATGAGGGAAAAAGGAAGGAGATTGGGGAGAAGATGGTGGAAGCTTTCATGGCGGAAGGGAATTTGAAAGCTTTGGCTATGGTGAAGCAATTATACAGAGTTACAGAGTTGGTGCTAGACTGGTTAGTAGCATTTCAAGATAATTATGAAGATAAATTTAATGAATCATGATAATAGGGTAAGCTGTATGAGTTTGTTAATGAAGTAAAAATGGACCATTTTTATGAATTTTGGTCTGTGGCTCAGTTTTTTAAGTAATACAAGGGAAACAGGAAAGCTACTCTTGAATGTTGAAAGGTTTGTATTTTTTTTTCTTAGATGACTGTAGGTCGATAGGATAAGTTTGTCCACGAAATAGTCAATGTATGATTTTGAATTTTAAATGGAAAAATGTCTAAGTGACGTAGGAAACTGTCTAATATATGCTAAAGGTATTAAAAAGACAGATCACTTCATAGTTGATTCCCTTACAAAGCACGGAAATAAGTTATAGGACTGATTTAGAGCAAACTACTTTGGTTCAAGATAAATCAAGAAAAATTAAATAATCTATTAATAATGTAATGTGTATTTGAAGAAAATAACCAAAAAAATGTTTTTGGTAAATAAAAAAATCACCAAGTCCGGAGGTACATTCCAGACAGAGAAAATAAATACTTTTTATCATAAAAAAGTACATTTCAAACTGACATTCCAGAAGTCCACACCAATATTTCGGATTCCGGACTGAAATTATGGAGTTGGGGAAAAAAGAACTACATAATAAAAGTTTGAAATCAAATGAACAATTATGGAATTTCAAGAAGAAGAAAAAAAACAGTTTTTACTTAAATCAAACAAAACGTTATTCAAACTTAGTAATATATATATATATATATATATATATATATATATATATATATATATATATATATATATATATATTAGGCCATGAAATCAAACATTTGATTGAAAAACGGTGACATTAAACACTTCGAAATGAGCATTTCATATATAAATAAAGATATTTATTTTGAAAAAAAAAGGAACTACTAACTTTGAAGATCCCAAATGTTAATGACTGGGGGGGTAGATGATGAAGAAGTCTCGGAGCCCGGTCACCTCTTACGAAGCTTGGTTTGCTTCCTTAACTTCTTTGCAGTCTTCTCTATCTTCGAGTCAATTGGCAGTGGTGTACCTGTACGGAAAGATCTAGGCATAAACAATTAGTGTCACACCCCCAAACTGGAACGGCGGAAACGTCCGGGGGCGGATGACGTCATTGTATAGTACCATAACAACTGAATATGAATGAAACATAGCATTACAGGTGACATGCATTGAGAATACATACTTACATTGTTTACATATTGTACTTGTTCATCAGTTACACAAAAGTGACAAGAAGTAAAATTTCATAAGGTTGCACCACTTGACCTCATAGCAGAGTTGATTACCTGTTACTTTACTGAATCCCTGAGAATACAAGTCGTTTTGAAAAGCGTCAACAAAAAAGTTGGTGAGTTCATAAGCATTTTTGTATAAAAATGGTTTTGCACTTGTTTAGAATAGTTCTCGTAGTTCTTTCAGAAAATCCGACATTTTCTATGAAAATGATTTGTAAGTCTCGTTCCAAAACTGTGGATATATGCATGCATGTACTTTGTTATCTTTTGTTTGTAAAAGTAAAGTGAACGTTCCCAGAAAATACAATATTTTCTGATGTAAGAAAGACTGTAGTCTTAAACCCTAAGACCGAAAGTGTAAGAGACTGAATACTTGAAAAATGATTTGAAGCTTTATAGTTTAATAAGCCGATGAAGTGTAAGCTTCCCGTAAACCAAAATCGTATTGTTATTCCCTATGTGAGTCGCTATAACCATGCTTAATATGACTGATATGCCTGTCATGACGTTCTTCAGGCGTCGGTTTCGGTAAGATATTTGTCACCTTAGACTGGCCTCGTCTAGCTGTGTAACATCCGGACTCCCAGGTATATTATTTATATATTTATTTTTGGGGTTTATTGAGTAACTCGACGAGTTGGTGCCTCAACTCGTCGAGTAGAGTCGTGATTGGCCACGGGGGGTTAAGTGACCAACTCGACGAGTCAGAGAGCCGACTCGCCAAGTTGGCGCTGTGAGATGAAACCCTAAATCCTCGGGTTTGGGGCCTATTTAAGAGAACTTATGTTCTCATTTGCGCCTCACCGGTTGCCCAGCCTCCCTGTGTGAAACCCTAAACGAGTGTAGTGAGCTAAGAGAGTCTCAAAGCTAATCTTGAGGAATTTTAGTGCATCTTTTGAGGATATGAGGAGTTTTTCTAGCAAGTAACAAGGAGGAACTGTGGGATCCAGGGCCAATTCGTCCCAAGCTTCAAGTGGAAGGTAACTCATTTATTTGGTTAGATCTCATGGTTATGGAAGATTAGGGTTTCTACCACCTTTTATTTGGGACTTCGAGCATATTGAGTTATCATGAGGTTTAGACCTCAGATATGGACCTTGTGAGGTCCCTAAAGTCCAAAGGTCCCAATTTTATTCATCCATATGATGGTTATTGTGCTTAACACCTTGTGAGAACATGTATTGGTTTTTGGAGCAAAAATACCATGCGTGAACGTAAAGATCGAAGCTTTACGTGACAATCGAGTCTTGGGATGCTAGATCTAGTGTTTGAAGTGATAGATCTGCTTTAAAATATCTGAATGAGAAATCAGATTGAAGGGACTCGCCGAGTCTATGAACTGACTCGACGAGTCGGTTCGGGTTTGTCCCGATGAGCTTGATCATGCGATAACTCACCGAGTTGGAGGTCAACTCGACGAGCTGAGTTGGGCTTTCATGAGACTTCTGAGGAAAAGGAGTGGACTCGACGAGTCACCTAGATGTACTCGGCGAGTCGGGTCAAACATGGATTGTTGACTCGGGCGTTGACTTATGTTGACTTTAGGGTTTTGGTCAAGACAGGGTTAAGAGAGCCATGGAGGGGTAAAATGGTCTTTTACCCATTCCAAGAGTTTGAGAGAAAAAGAATAGCCTTGATTTATTTAGAGTTGTGAATAGAGTATTAATTGGAGATAATTATCCTATGTGTTAGGCGGGGGCTAGTTCGAGATTCATGAACGAGGTTATTACTTGCTTGTTTACGAGGTGAGTCTTCTCACTATACTTACCTTGAGTGGTAATCTATGTGTGACCGGAGGGTCTTATGTGCTTATACTGTGTATTAAGATATCTTGTTTTATGTCCTGGTGATATATAGTGTGTATTATTCTGAGCTTACCGAGTTAGGACCAGAGGGTCCACCCGAGTTGTGGGACCGGAGGGTCCAACTGAGACACATTGACCAGAGGGTATTATTTGATTATAGCTATGAGAGGCTAATGAGTTATGTGTGGTATTTTGAGAAACTCACTAAGCTTCGTGCTTACCGTGTTATGTGTTATGTGTTTCAGGTACTTCTCAGGATCACGGGAAGGCACCGGCTTGATAGTACACACTGGAGCGAGAGTATTTTTATGATTATGGGATAGTGATTTTTACTTTGTGGATTTTGATGACAATTGAGAATATTGTGGTTTTTGAAAAAATGTGATATGAGTTTTATTGTATTTTAAAAATGAAAATTTCGGTTTGAAAATTTACGGTGTTACAAGCTGTAGCGAACAGCTCAGGTGTGGGGGTGTCAACCCCGTATAGATCTATACACAATTACCTCGCTCTCCCTCCAGGAGACTCTGGTTATAACTACAGGACTTATGGTGTACGCTAGGTAGGTACGGCGAAGGAAAGTCTCACAAGAGCCTTAACAGATTTACGTGAACTATGACTCATTTTTCTTGTAAAATGAAATAATTATACCTTTGAATAATTATATGTTCTCTAAAATGAAAGTGTGGTTTGTGACTCCCAAACTATACCAATTATAGTTTATTATGAATGTTTTATTAAGTCCATTTATATAATCAAATATATAAACATATGTAAGTTATCATGTCTAGATGTTTTAAAAGATTATAACACATAAACTTACATCTAAGCACAAATATAAAACATTTTAATATGATGGGGACAATTTCTAGTTTTTGACTTTTCTGTCCCTATTTTTAGAAAATTATAGAAAAATCATCATATGTCGAAATTTGGATCCATAAACTCTGAGAGTTTGGAAAATGAGTCTAATTTGTTCATAATTTTTAATGGTCTCAAACCAGTGTGAAAATGTTCATCTTCACAGACTGGTCCGAAATCATTTCTGAAATGTTAGGCAGTTTTGTAAAAATCGCCAAAAATTGTAGAAAAATCGTATGAACGCGTGCGAGTAGTCCTTAGAAAGTTATAAACCTGAAATATTTTTATGTTAAATAGTTTTGAAAAATATTAAGTTTAAGATGGCAAAACCAGTCCTTAAATAGACCTTAACTTTTCTGTTGAAAGCTGATGTTTAAGTTTAGGTTATATATGTTTGAACACAACACTCATTTTTGCTATTTTTGAGTGTATAACCCATATCCACAAGTTTTCATGCAATATATATGTTATCAAACACATTTCTCATGATTTTTATGAAGATGTATAAGGTAAACTCCATGTTCATGCAAATACCCAAAGGTTAACACATTGGTCCATGCAATCATCCAACGATTAAATGAAAACTTGACTTGTATCCCCCCCCCCCAAAGTATGAAAAACTCGAAAAAATTGGGGTATGAAGCTCACCTTGGAGTTTTCGAGTGGTGTAAGAAGAAGAAGAAGGGAATTCCGAGCCTAGCTTGTGTTCTTGGTGAGATTCTCGAAATGGTGGTGTTTCTAAGAGCTTAACACACAACAGAAGTGTGTAAATGGAATGTTCTTAGCATAAACATGTAATAAAACACTTTGAGTTTGACATGGACTTACCAATAAGCCTAGGATCGATCTTTGATGATGATGAACTCGAGATTTTTGAGAGAAGAAGGAGGAGAGTTTTCTTGAAGCTAAGTCAAGGAAAAATGAGGTTGTGAGGTGTATGGAGGGGGGGAGGGGGTAGGCCGAGAGTATAAGAGAATAGAGGGAAGAGGGTTGACCTTGCTAGAGTTTGATGGGATATATGCCTTGATGCATGGAGGTTAAAGGCTTGTAGGTATGCTAGACAAAAATGAGGTGGCATTGCTTATTATCCAATCCTTTTTTCCTCTTTTTTTTATTAACC